TTTTAAGGCTTGATAGTAATTTCACTGTTTTACTCACTTGTTTGTTCTGTCCTTTCATTCAGAGTTTTAATTTGTTATTCATCAGAACTGAAGGAAGTTCCTTGACATGACAGAAATATGTGTTGATCATTTATTCGGTATGAATCTCTGTGTAACTCTTAGTGGAAGTGACAGGAGAAGTCTGTAGTCTGCACGGTAAGTTTGCTCTTTGATAAGCAGGTGGCCTTGACGGACTCCATCCTTTGTGGGAGTTTGGGAATCGGGTCAGCCTCTCTTGAAACCTGTTGGACCCGACTGAGCATCTTCATACCCTCCGACTCGGCATCTTCCTTCCTAGTGCTGTTCTGGAAAGTGCTTCCAACCAAATAACTCATGGTATTTCCCATCTGAATCTGCCACACTCATTTTCTATTTGATTTTAATAATTATCCTTTATTAATAAGTTGCATCATATTCAAGAAGTAAGTTCAGAAGGAATCAAGAAAGTGCATTTACCCCAAATCAACAGCTAGTTAAACATTTTTTTCTTACCATCTCTTAGTGAATTCGGACGTTTATCACTGGAAGAGAATAACTTCTTTCAGGGTGTTGGTGCTTAATTTTCCTTTGCTGCTCTTCCTCCATATCCAGTGTTCCTGGTACGCTTGTCTTCCTGTAGCTTTGCATATGGCTCTTGTACACTTCATTTATTAAAAGTGCTCTTACCATCATTCCCATTGAGCTGGCCGTGCGTCGTTGGCCGCCTGGAGGGTTTTCTGTATGAGAGCTCTGTACCGCTAAGTGCCACCCAGCAGATCCCCTTCGTGCCGCTTCCTACGTGCTCACCAGTTGTTTGTACTCTCCTTCCATAAAATTCATCCCCAGATCGGAACCTGGCAAGCTGGTACTTGTACTGATCTCATCACTACTGCACTCTCCTCACCAGGAATCTTGCAGGAGATCGGCAGACGCAAGGGTATGATCACCTGACTTCTAGTTCGTTCACTATCCGTTGACTTTGCTGGCTGCCTGACTTGTTTTGTATTTATTACTTTCCTGTTTTCTCTTTCTGGTCAACATTGTCTTTTAGAACATCTCTGGGAAATGGGTATAGTATCATCCTTCTTGCTTTATTCTTAACCTCCTGATACGCTCTGTGCACTATACCCTTAATGAAAGCTTTTGATGATAAGAGATCATCTAGTTAGTTTTTCTGCCGGTGGATGTAAAGGAACAAAAACGTTGTCCAACAAATAGGTTTTAAGCCATGCCTAAGTATATTCTCAGATACTTCCCCGAAATGTAGACCCCAGAGTGATGGGGCTCATTCCTGTTGTTTCCTTTGACATGGTGGCTGTTTTCAGCTGCCTCTGGAAACCTTCGAGAGAAATAGATGGATTAATTCTGACAAAT